AATTGGATGGACTACAATTGTACATATCTAGATAACACTCTTACAAAAATGTAAGACTCAAACCTATTTCATCCAAAAAACTAGCCTCATTTAGGCTATGTTTGGTAAGCCAAATAAGTTAGCTTATAGCTTATTTAGGACGAGCTTTTTTAAAAAGCTCGAGCTTATCTCATAAGCTACTTTAGGTAGTTTTTCAAATAAGGTAGTTGAATTTTTTATTTCAGCTAGCTTATCAGTTATTACCAAACACTTTTGACTATGTTTGGTAGAGTAATAAACTAGCTTATAGCTTATTTGATTAGCTTATAAGCTTCCTGTATTCAAATAAGCTTCGTTTGGTAGGATGAGCTTTTTTAAAAGCTCGAGCTTATCTCATAAGCTTCTTTGAGTAGCTTTTCAAATAAGCCCGTTGAAATTTTTATTTCGGCTAGCCTATCAGCTAATTTTATCAAACACTTTTATCATATAAGCTAGTTTTTCAGCTATAAGTCATAAGCCATAAGCTATAAGCTCGAAATTTACTGATAAGCTATAAGCTTGCTTATCAGCTATCAGCTAGTTTTACCAAACATAGCCTATCATATAAGCTAGTTTTTCAGCTATAAGTCATAAGTTATAAGTTATAAGCTCAAAAATTATAAATAAGCTATAAGTTATAAGCTCAAAAATTATAAATAAGTTATAAGCTAGCTTATCAGCTAGTTTTACTAAACATACCTTAAATCACGACCACCTTTTATAATCAAGTTTCTTAATTTAAATCAGTATCTAGATAACAGTCTTACAAAAATGTACGACTCAAACCCATTTCATCCTCATTTAAATCATGACCACCTTTTATAATCAAGTTTCTTAATTAAATTCAGTATCTAGATAACAGTCTTACAAANCCCTAGTCCCTTTCTCCTCCAATCATCGCACCTCCTTCTGCCTGCAGCGTGCCTTCCCCGACAGTTCGTTAGTATCTTCGTCGGTGGATGGCCTGTAGCTGCGCACCCTCGCTCCTAATTCACGCTTCTTCTAGCTTTCTTGCGTCGTTGGTGGATCTCAGATGCCGTCGGTCGGACTCGGCTTTTCACGATCGCAGTGGCAGTCTCGGCTTCTTCCGAGTCGCATCGATGGTGGATGGACTTTTGGTCGGCTTCGTCACTGTCCGGTTGCCGGTGGCGGGTCAGCTGCGGTTCTGTCGGATCGCTGTGGGTTGCTCAGCGTGGTCGGGGTGTTGGGTGCGACCCTAGTTGCCCGGCTCGTCTAAGACGAGTTGACCGAGGTTGAGGTGGGTCGATTCGAGCCCCCTGTTTAACTATTCCCCTAGTGTTGTGGCGTGGGATGTCCGGTAGGGGGGCGGTCGGTACTCCTCCAGTTGTGGGTCGGTTTCACTTCTTGGAATTGACCGGGGTCTCGGGTTTCGGCTTCAGCTAGGTGTTTTGGCAGTTTCGGGAGTACATTCCTGAACTGCGGTTCAGTCTTCGGGGGTGTTTGTCTGTAATTCTGCTGGTGCCTTGTGCTGGGATTGATTATCTGCTTTGGGAAGGGCTCTGTTTTTGTTTTTGAGTCTGTTATGCTTTTTCTGATTTTAGGTTAAGTGTGTTTGTTTGTTAGTTTGTTTGGTTTAGTCTTGTGTTTTTTGTTTGGGTCTCTGACCTTAGTTTTGTCCGAGTGAGAGTGTGTATTATCCCTTTGAGATCGTTTTGTGTTTATTCTCCTATTGGGAGCTCTGTAGTTTTTATTAGTGTTTGTAGTGTAAGTTGTGTCGTGAGTCTTGTGTCCTGGTTTCTAGCGTTGCTAGTGACGGCTCTATGTGGTCTTCGAACATGTCTTCCCAATCTTTTCAGCTTTTGATTGTATTATTCAGCTAGAGGTTGTGTTTTTGCACATTTGTGCGTTTTTATCTATAAAATTTTATATCGTTGTGAAAAAAATCAGTATTGCTTTCATCTTTGACCAGAGACCAGTATGATAATGATAATATAAAGGAAGGGAAAAGGTAAAGCTAAAACGCCACCTACGAGTTCAGACAAAAACTTAATTGGCCTTCAACAATGATTGCCGTATGGAAAAATCATTTGTTTTTACCGGCCATGAAATAAAAACTTTGGTATAGGTCACTCGAGTGAGGTGCATAATATAAATGGCTCACATATTGGTAATAATTGAGGGGGAAAATTTCATTTCCAGGGCTTAATTTTTAGGTATTTTGTTATAACAGGGTTTAAATTTTTAATTTTTCAATTGAGCTCTTCAATTTTAAATATAAAGTCTATTTATACATTCTACTTTTCAATATAAGACTCCAAATCACTTTGTGTTTTAACATAATTATATAAACTACACTTTTTTTTTATTTTATTTTTTATGTACTTATAATGAATAATATTAATTATCTTTAATAAAATTACTTAATAATATAATTATTTCATAATTTATATTTACGCAAAATCTTAATGAAATTTAGTATAAAAGCTAAAAAATAAATTTTATCTTAGTTTTAATCTAAATATGTGATAACAATTAAAAATAAACTATTTATAAAAATATTTTGATTCTTAAATAAAATTATAAAAAATATTATTTGTGAATAAAATTTATATTTGAAAAGATTTAAGAATATATATAATTACTACCTATAATAAAAATATTAAATATATTTGTAAAACTAGTTTCGTATGAAAATTAATTCAAATAAGTTACATTTATGAAAAATTAATTTAGCTTAAATGAATTAATTTTCTTACCAAAGTAATTTCACTAAAGATATTTATAATTATTTAAAATATATATTTTAAAATAATAGTATTTTGGTTTACATATTTATGTAAAAATATAAAGTTAGTTGGTGACTTAAATTGAGAACTAGAATGTAAAAGTAAGCCTTTAATTGAGAATAACTTAAAATTAAAACCCTCAAATGAAAAAATTAAAAATTCAAGCTATATTGTGACACAGTAACAAAAAATCAAGCCCTACAATAGTGTAGTCGCCCCCATTTTTTAGTGTTTCTCCTCACTCGTGGTGATGACTTTTCGACTGGACTTTTCTTCGACCAGGCTCTGACATTCTTGTGTCATTTGCTCTGTTATCCCTTTTTCTTGATTGTTTTTCGTTTGTTTGGATTGTTGTATCTTGGACTTTAGACTTGTAGACCAGTGACTATTCAGCCCATGTCGGGCCTTTTTATATACAAATTGGGGTTTGGCCTTAACCCCCACCATTTCGAGGTGTTGTTTTGTTAANNNAAAAAACCTACAATAGAATTTCCCCTATCACAAGAATGAGACCTCCCCATTATATAGATTAGAGCACCTGAAAATTGTAAAGAAAAATCAGTAACGCAATATATATGACAAAAGTACTTCAATACACATTTTTCATATCCAAATATTCAAGATTTGTACTGATGGTCGATTTCACCAACAAGATTATGGCAAGTAATAACGATATTATAAAAACAAGGAGGTGAAATTGCAAATAACAAAAATATGGCCAACGAATTATGTGCTAGTGTTGATATACGCTTGCACTTGTTTTTATATTGCTTTTAATAGCTTTGAATGCTTGTATTGGACTTTCCAAATACAGGGCATTACGGTTTATACACGATAAAAAGTGAAAATTCATCATAATTTTTTAATGAATCATTGGACACGTCAGACTCGTGAGGGTCCGCTGTATGCACGATGACACGTGGCTGGCCACATGTCCAAGTAGCCAGATTTATGATCGGTGAGGTTGTCCATACACGCGGTGTAAACCGATTCTTGGCAGCAACATTTTCACACTGAGTAATGAGATCACGCAAAGGAAGCTGTATGTTTGTGGTCGGTGCCAATGTAGAAATACTGAACTTGCATACGGCACATCAATGTTACCGGACATTTGGTCCGAAGTGAGATCAGCATGGGAATTGGAAATTGGTGTCAATAACTTTCAGATGCTCTCGTGCCGATATGTTTAATGTATTTGGGCTCCGGAGTGCTGTCGGTGTCACCTTTTTACTATTTCCTTCTTCCACGTCGACAACATTAATAAACGAAACTATCAAACATATAGAGCAATTTTAACACACATAGTTCAACAATAGTTTCTCTTAGACATCCAAACTTTTGTTTTAAATATACAAGTTTTCATTATAAAAATATCATACTTTAGAAATAGTATAAACATAAGTATAACAGTTGATAGTATAAGTGTGCATTTTAACTTACAGAGGTCTGACTGTTTAATGGTTAGGTTGTCTCAGTCTAGAACTTGTGAAAGTTTAATCCTACCAATTTTTGTGGAACTCAATCTAATTGTTAGGCATAAGTTTAATCCTACCAATTTTTGTGGAACTCAATCTAATTGTTAGGGATGCCGACACATCATAGTTTTCTAAAAAAAAATACTATAAAATATCATACTTTATAGAGTTATTCTAACACTATTTCGTCCATATTTCTTCTTTCCTTGCACGTCTAATATTTTCTCTGAATTTTTATGACTCGTGTAACTCGTAGTCTAGACGTAAAGTTGAATACATCAAGTGCACGCACTTTCCTACTCTGGCAACCTCAAATCAACGTTTGGGAAAAAAGAAAAAAGGAAAAGGTTTTTTAAGATGTTCACTTTTTTTACACAAAGTTATTTGGATGTTTAATAAAAGAGCAAAGCAAATGTTAAATCCAGGACCCCTCAGTGCGATACCCTGGCCGTTAGTTTAGGGCAGTGTTTCCCATAAGTACAATAAGTTGAAATGTTTAAATTGAGGCAAAAATTAGGGAAAAATGATGGGATACAGCGTGATTTTGTTTGAAAGAGAGATAAGATATGCTAACAAAAGATTGTAAGATTGTGCCTTTGGTGGGTAATATGGTACTTAATCATTTATTTCACATCAAACATAAGGACACTGAAAAAAACACAACTCATTCTTTTCTTTTTTTCATTTTTCTTCTCCACCTTTATTTATTTATTTGTCCTTGTGTTAGGAAGATGGGATGAAGAAAATCAAATCTTACGTCTCACCAAATCTTCAATTTTTTAAACTTGGCCAATGTGTCTACTAAATAAAGTCACCAGAAAACATCTAGCCAAGCGTGCAACTAATAAATTATCACTTGAATTGAAGACCTTGACTAATGCATTTTTCGTGTTGTCTTTTTTGTGCCATAATATTTGTATAATGGAGTAAAAACTAAAAAGTAGCAAAGAGTGATGCCACACAATGGCATATATGAAATTACATTAGAAAAAAAGAAGAAGAAGAAGAAGGCATGGCACGGCACGCCATGGCGTAAGACTCAAACGGAAGCACAAATTTGAATGAGATAAGTATAAACAAGGCATTGCAGTTAGACATGACAATGGGCCGAACCAACCCACGGTCAATAGGCTTGAAACTGAGCCCGTGGTTTGACCGGGCCGGTTATGGGCTACATATGTACTTCTTCAATCGTCTGGCCGATTCTGAACCGAAATCGTAACCAGCAGTTCGGCCCTTTTTTACTTTTTATTATTTTTTAAATTTTTTTAAATGAATCGGGTCGGTCCAAAACTGCTGGTTCACCGAATTGGCCTAAAACCATTGGTTCAGGGTCGTCAAACCCTTGGCCCTGATTAGTAAAGAACACAAGTTTTAGTATAAGACTGACATACCTATTAAGAGTCCTTCATACTTTTTTAATAATAATTCACATGTATGTTATGAAATGTCATATTTTTGTTTACGTTGTTTTTTAAGTATGACATCTCACGGGCGTAGACAGGGCTGGGCTCACCCGGGCTCCAACTCGGTCTTAATTTTTTGACTTATCCCAATATGTAATAGTTAAAAAGTATTTTAGCCTATGTTTTATTAATTTAATTCATGAAAAAATTATTTAGTTCATATTAGTCTAAATTTATTTTATATTAAACCATCAATTTATACATATTTGTGGACATGACTCAAACTTTTCATATCCCTTTATTATATATAATTTCAGAATGCGTTGAGCCTACATGGCAAACTCTCATGCTTCAGAATCCTATTTGGCAAAAGATCATGCTTTGGAGTTAGGCTTGGATATAAATTAATATTTATATTAATTGTATTTAATATCGTTTCCTATTATAACTATTGAATTGAGAATATATTTTAAAAGTTGGTAATTTTTGTATTTCTTATCGCTTTTACATATATAATATATCATATTAATCATCTTTTGATGAGTTTCGATTTGACATCCATATTGTATATATAAAATAAATAAATTATATTTATGTTTATAATAATAAAACGTTATTTATTAAAATTAATTAAAAAATAAAATTATTATCAATTAATATATTTATGTTTAATGTAGTTATATGTTATAGGGTAGAAAATTTATTATAATATAACACATATAAGTCGCACAAGTAACATGTGTCATACTAAAATATATAATTATATACTCCCTCCTATTTTTATTATTTGTCAATTTTGCTTAATTGATCATTGATAAAATAAATGTCGTTTTAGATATTTTGTTCATATTTTTTCATTTTTAACCCTCCATCTAATACACAGTGTCTCTTCATATCCTATCTCCATCGTTTTCCATAACATCCATTAAATAGGGTTAATATTGTCAAGAAAAACCTTAATCAGTGTGTTGCATTTGAATTGATATTATGAAGTCCGTTTGTATTTTACTATTTATTTATATATATAAATATATAATACAAAACATTAATATATATCCTTATAAGTAAAATTTAAATTTATTTATCCAACTAAATTAAATTATATCAAATAAAACTATAAATTATATTATAAAGTAATAGAAATTGGTATTTATTCTTTTGAAAATGATATTTATTTCAAATCTAATTGGTATGTTGTTAATGTAATAAAAATAAATAATTATGTATATAAATTCTAAAATTACATATAAAGTTAAAAAACTGTGAAACATGACTGATACGACACTTGATATATTATGCATCTAATTAAGTAAAAAAATTAATCTATTTTGTTTAATATTAAATAAACATATTCTACACTTATGCATATACATATCACCATATTTATTCAAGATATATATTTTTGTACATATGTAATAGTGAATAATATCGATATTTTTATATGATATAAGTAAAAAAAATTCAACACGGGTTGACATTTTCATTTAATGTACGGGTGTTTAATTATTATGATTACAAAAATATAATTTGACAATTTAATTAAAATCTAAAGTAATGTTTTATATAAAAATAAATTATTTTAGTTGTTTAAAAAAAATTAGAAAAGCTTTCTAATTCAACACTCGTGTAATACACGGGTATTGTACTAGTGTATATTATTATGCTTATAGCTTACTTTGTCGTTTTTCTTCTTGGTTTTCACTTTTTAATGTTTGGTTTAAGACACTATTAATTTATATTGTTTACATTACTTTATATGTAAATATATCAATTAATTGTTAACTTTTAAATAAATGATATTTGAACATGTGGAATATATAATTTAATTTCATTAGTTTTCGTAGCATATTCAATGAAACAACATTTGAAATTTCACAATTTAAGTGAATATCATATATAACAAGTATGTTGGGTTAATCTGCCTATTCAATAAAATGGCATTTGGACTTCCATAATTTAAATGAAATATTATATAACAAGTATATTGGGTTGACATGCCTAATAAAACATTAATCTCATATTAATATTTGAAATAAGTTATATTATTTTTATAAGTTAAATTTAAGTAGGCAATAGAAAAATTATGCGACAATACTATTTTTTGAATAAAAATTTATTATATCAACAAAAAAATCTACAAGTTTGTACGATTGACCTCCGTATAAAACAATAAATACACCTAAAAAACAACATAAGGTGATTTTAATTTACTAATACATGACATATTTTTAATAATTTGTTTTTTGTTCGTTTTGTAATTTACATTAAACTTAAGAAAATATCATACTCTGATTTTTACACATAACAGTAGTGATATTATTGAAGCGAAATTGAGTCAAATACGTCGTGTTCGAACTTGTGCTTCTTTAATAAATAGACATCTTTGGCTCGGATCATTTAATAAATCTGATTGTAATCAACTAAGCTCCGCTCATTTGAATTAAATTTATATTTTATGTTTTATTATATGAACGAGTTGAGATTAAACTTCTTACGAGTCAAACTAAGTTGTACTCCCTAACGACTCGGTTCTAGCAGCCCAGGGTATAAAATATTTCTAGCTACGCCCGTGTGACTGCTTAATCATGGTCACATATAGCGCTACTCAAGTAATATTTACTTCGACTAGAATAAATTTTGAAGCAATCAGCAAGCCTAATAGTTAATAGAACTCGAACAAAAGATTAGTCTTTGAATATGCAGCTAAATTCCACTAAAACTCTGCAACCTCCAACTCCAATTATCGTGCGAAAACACTAAAAAATGCTAGTGATGCTTTTTTGAACTAAAAACAAGAAGAGAAAAGCAAGGAAATGACAGGCGCCTTATTAAAGCCTATGGATTAGTCTCAAGAAACTAGATTTCGTCACTTGGTCAACAAACTTTCAACAAACTTTAACAAAGGTGATCAAAATAATTTTGTGGGGATAATTCTATTAAAAGTTTTGAAAGCATTATGAAGGCAACAATACCTTATTTGCTGAAATAAGTCTTTAGACTAACTGAAATAATTACATGCACGTATCGATGTCATATGTAAAGCGGAAACAAATCGAGCAATAATTATCAGAAATGCGTAACCCAAATGACAAAGAAATGCAAGTATAGGCAAAAGAGACAACACGTGTGGTAGTAGTAAACTGTTGATCAGAAACCAAAAGAGAGAAGAAAAAATCTGTGATTGAAAATGAATGGGGAAAATGGTAAGTTTCAGAAGGGAGTTTAAAGCAAAGTATAGTGGACAAAAATGGTGGCGCGTGACGTACGTATTCGACAACATTAATCATTCAATATCTCCATCACCTATACGATATTGGTAAAAAGTAAAACCTTCATTTCATTAGGGGAAAAAAAAAAGAGAGAGAGAAGAAAGTGAAGAGCTGCAGAAAGTAAAACCAGGAAAAACACTCAATAGGGACACGAAAAGAAAGAGGAGTCAAATTCTGTTCAATGATCATCTTGACTAACTAAGACCACTCAAATATGACCCAACATGTAAGCATTTACCTCCATAAGAGATTTTCTTCGTTGATGCATTAAGATTTCCTTTTTTCCTAGTGGGAGAATGCATTTCCAAGTACAGCCATATAATCGGCACGTTCCCAGCCCCACCACAATCAACATCAAGATTTTCCCATATCTGCGTGAAAACGGGTAAAGATAATCGTGGTTAAAAACAAACCTCATCTTTGTAAAAAAGAAAAAAAAAAAGTCATCAACACACTAAACTGATTAACAAATGAAAGTACAACAGCTCCAGTAAACACTGACCTTGTTGGGGCATTAACATTTTAGGAAGTGATTTTCTGCTGCAATGATTTTCGCAGGGGCAGCACAAAAATTTTACCAATCATTGACCGTCGTGTATAATCATATGTATTTGTTTTTTCATCAGCTTTACTGCTTTCAGTGCATATATAATTCACCAACCTGCAAAACCAGTCATGCTTTATAACCACAGAATGCATTATTACATATTCATAAGTAAATCTTTCATTGGATGCTTTAGGCAATTCTAACCTGACAACAGTTAAGGATAATGTCAAAAAAAAAAAAAGTTCCTGATATTATTTTGTTTAGGTTGAGAAATTCTAAAAATCATGTATCCTGTTAATGATGAGAAAAACTTGTGCATCAAAGCACTTTATAAATGCTAACTTTGTGGCTCCATGGAACTAATACCAAATTCAATCTCAATCAATATATATGTGTGTGTGTGTGTGTGTGTATGATTAGGTTAGCTGCTAAACACACTACACTATACCACTTATCCTATTTATACCTAATGTTGTGCCCTTTTCAGTCTACCAGAAAAATGAATACTTAAGTTAAAAAATACAACTCCAGAACACACTAATGCTTCCAACAATGTCCTAGGCAGGGGCTCCAACTTATACTGAAACATGATCAAAATAAAGAGTGCACATATGTAGTTTATTAAAAAATAGTTATGGTTT